TCCATGCCCTGGATTGCAGGGTGGGCTCTGAGGTGCTGGCATGGTGTGCCTGGTTGTGGGAGAGAGGTCCAGTCCCCTTCTCCATGTCCTGGGTCCCTGGGCGGGCCCCAAGGTACTGGTGCAGTTTGCCTGGTTGTGGAAGGAGGGTCCGGTCCCCTTATCCATGCCTTGGGTACCCAGTGGGCCCCGAGGTGCTGGCATTTGTGCCTGGTATGGGAGGAGGGTCCAGTCCGCTTCTGCATGCCTCTGGGCTGGGTTGGCCCCAAGGTGCTGGCACGGTGTCCCTGGTTGTGGGAGAGAGGTCAGACCCTTTCTCCTTGCCTTGGGTCCCTGGTTGGGCCCCGAGGTAGTGATGTAGTGCCTTGTTTTAGGAGGAGGGTCTGGTTCCTGGCTCCATGCCTTGGGCCACTGGGTGGGACCCAAGGTGCTGGCTTGGTGTGCCTGATTGTGGGAGAGAGGTCTGGTCCCCTTCTCCATGCCCTGGATTGCAGGGTGGGCTCTGAGGTGCTGGCATGGTGTGCCTGGTTGTGGGAGAGAGGTCCAGTCCCCTTCTCCATGTCCTGGGTCCCTGGGCGGGCCCCAAGGTACTGGTGCAGTTTGCCTGGTTGTGGAAGGAGGGTCCGGTCCCCTTATCCATGCCTTGGGTACCCAGTGGGCCCCGAGGTGCTGGCATTTGTGCCTGGTATGGGAGGAGGGTCCAGTCCGCTTCTGCATGCCTCTGGGCTGGGTTGGCCCCAAGGTGCTGGCACGGTGTCCCTGGTTGTGGGAGAGAGGTCAGACCCTTTCTCCTTGCCTTGGGTCCCTGGTTGGGCCCCAAGGTAGTGATGTAGTGCCTTGTTGTAGGAGGAGGGTCTGGTTCCTGGCTCCATGCCTTGGGCCACTGGGTGGGACCCAAGGTGCTGGCTTGGTGTGCCTGATTGTGGGAGAGAGGTCTGGTCCCCTTCTCCATGCCCTGGATTGCAGGGTGGGCTCTGAGGTGCTGGCATGGTGTGCCTGGTTGTGGGAGAGAGGTCCAGTCCCCTTCTCCATGTCCTGGGTCCCTGGGCGGGCCCCAAGGTACTGGTGCAGTTTGCCTGGTTGTGGAAGGAGGGTCCGGTCCCCTTATCCATGCCTTGGGTACCCAGTGGGCCCCGAGGTGCTGGCATTTGTGCCTGGTATGGGAGGAGGGTCCAGTCCGCTTCTGCATGCCTCTGGGCTGGGTTGGCCCCAAGGTGCTGGCACGGTGTCCCTGGTTGTGGGAGAGAGGTCAGACCCTTTCTCCTTGCCTTGGGTCCCTGGTTGGGCCCCAAGGTAGTGATGTAGTGCCTTGTTGTAGGAGGAGGGTCTGGTTCCTGGCTCCATGCCTTGGGCCACTGGGTGGGACCCAAGGTGCTGGCTTGGTGTGCCATTTCCTTGTGTTATTGCATGACCTAGTACTTTTAGTGCGATGTTGAAGGAGTGATGAGAGGATACATTCTTGTTTTCTTCCTGATTATCTGGGAAAGCTTTGAGTTTCTCACCGTTAAGGATGATGTTAGCTGCAGTTTCCTCTAGATAATCTTTATCAGGTTGTGATGTTCCCCTCTACTCCTACTTAACTGAGAATTTTTATGATGAGTGGATACTGTATTTTGTGAAATGCTTTTTCTGCATCTGTTGAGGTGATTGTGTGATATTTTGTTTTTTCTTGTTAGTGTTTTCATGTTATAAATTACATTAATTGATGTTCATATGTTCAACCACCCTTGCCTACCTGGGATAAATACCACTTGGTTGTGGTGCATAATTGTCTTTAGACATTGTTGGGTTAGGTTTGCTAATATTTTATTGAGCTTATTTGCATGTATGTTCATGAGAGATAAGTTTGTTGTTTTCTATTCTCATAGTATCTTTGTCTGGTTTTGGTGCTGAAGTTATGCTATCCTCATACAATTACAATGGGAAGTACTTCATCTTCTGCTGTCTGCAATAGGTTGTAGGAAGTTGGTATATTTTTTCCTTAAATGTGGGCTTGAATTCCCCTGTGAACACTTCTGGGCAAGGTGCTTTCTGTTTTGAACATTATTTCTTTACTCAATTTTCATAATAGACTCAGGCTTATTCACACTGTGTATTTTTGTGTGTGTGAGTTTTGGTAAACTGTCTTTTAAGGAATTGGTCCATTTCATGTAGGTTGTCAGATGTGTGTACAGAGTTCCGCATAATATTTATTATTTGTTTAAAGTCCACAGGTTCTGTAGTGATGGTCCTGTCTTTCATTTCTGATATCAGTCATTTCTGTCTTGGGTTCATTATCTTTTTAGTTAGCCCGGCTATAGGCTTATCAATTTTATTGATCTTTTTAAAGAATCAGATTTTTAGATGTTTATTTTTTCTCCAGATTTCTTTTTCAATTTTATTTCTGTTCTAGTTATTTCTTTTCTTCTGCTTCCTTTCAATTCAATTAGCTTTCTTTTTTTCCCCCTGCTTTCCAATGGTGGAAACCTAGATTCTTGATTTTAGATGTGTGGTTTTTTTGTTTTTTGTTTTTGTTTTTTCCTTTTTGTCTTTTTTTTACTGACCGGTAACGGGATCGCAACCCTCGGTGTTGCGCCCGCACCATGCTCAGCCAGTGAGCGGGAACCGGTCTCCACATGGGATCCAAACCCTCGGCGGGAGCACTGCCACACTCCTAAGCGGCGCACTCTCCAGTGCACCACTGGGCCGGCCCTAGATGTGTGGTTTTTTATAATGTATGCCTTCAGTGCCATAAAATTTTTTGAGAACACTATTATTTCTGTATCCTACAAATTTTGGTAAGTGTCATTTTCACTTTTCTTCCTGGTGGCTGGCCAGTACAGGAATTGAAATCCTTGACCTTGGTGTTACAATCCTGTGCTCTGACCAAGTGAATTACCCGGTCAGCTCCATTTTCACTTTCATTTACTTAAAAATATATTTTAAAATATTTTATAATTTTCTTGAGCTTTTTTCTTTTTCAACCCATGTATTAGAGTGTGTTGCTTGATCCCTCTCTTTTTTGGGATCTGTAGTTACTGCTTTGTAACTTATTTCTAGTTGAATTCTTTTGTGATCTGCAGGTACATGTTGTATGATTTCTATTATTTTAGTTTTGGTAAAGTGTGTTATGTGGCTCTGAATATGGTCTTAGTGATTTTTTTATGTGAGTTTGAGAAGAATGTCTATTCTGTTGTTGTTGGAAGTAGTCTGTAGATATCCAATATATCTAGATCATGTTATTGAGTTTAACTATGTCTCTTATAGATTTCTGTCTGCTGTATTGTTTGATTTTTATTAAAGGGTGTTGAAATCTCCAGTTTTGATGGTGGATTCTTCTTTCTCCTTGACGTTCTATTAGGTTTGGTATCACATAGTTTGATGATCTGTTTTAAGGCACATATACATTAAGAATTGTCCTCTGGGAGAACTAACTCCTATATTATGATTTAATGTCACATTTTCTTCTCTATCTTACATAAAAGATAAAGTGTTTCTGCAGATTCTATACTCGTTCTTTTTTTTTTTTTTTAACCTTTTAGGTTCATTCACTCGGATGTCTTCAGATAACATGGAAATTTTGATACTTTTCAAACCTTTATTGTCACCTTAACTTTCTCTCTTAAATGCTGGAATCATGTATCCAATTGCCACTTGTACATTTCCACAGATATTTCAAGTATTATGTATTCAAGTATGTTTCACTTTTGCCCATTATATTTTTCTCCCATTTTTCAAACTTTACGTTACATTGCCCGACCCTAAATAGCAGCGATTATGTAGATAACCTGAGAGTAAAACTCTTCTTTTTAGTTTCTGCACAGTAAAGTACTACTATGATCAGTTTCTGCTTTTTATTTCCCTTTTTCTTTTTTATACTGTTATATCTCTGTTCCGTGTGCTTATTTCTCTATGTTGTAATGTAGTTGGTCTTCTCTCACCCTGTTTTCTTCCCCTCTGACTCTCTCTAAAAGCCTCCTCCATTCTCCTTGTAGTGGTTGACTATAAAAATACAAACAAAGTTATCTACTTACAGGACCATGTTATGTACTCCCTGTGGTTTAGAAAGTTGCAGTGTACACCCTGGTGTGGACACAAGCAATCCTTTGGCACATAAGAAGGAAATTTTGGAATGCTTTTTTAAGTACTTTTAATTAATAAGTAATTAAAAAATAATAGTAACTACATAAAATGTTTTACTGTTTGAAATACATCACAGGGCCGGCCCCGTGTCTCACTCGGGAGAGTGCGGCGCTGGTAGCGCAGAGGCCGCAGGTTCGGATCCTATATAGGAATGGCCGGTGCACTCAATGGCTGAGCGTGGTACGGACCACACCCTGCCGAGGGTTGCAATCCCCTTACTGGTCAAAAAAAAAAAAAAGAAAAAAAGAAATACATCACATATGTAAGTGAAGAATCACTCTATAATTAGTTCAATATTGTGTTTTATCATTTTCCCAGACATGGTGCTGTGTGTAGTTCCTTTAATGTGCGGTCTGTTCTTTGTGTTCTTGTGAGTGGTCTTTTGCTGTTGCCTCATATTCATGAGACCATGAAGTTCACATGGAAGAGTTTAACTTCTTTGACATTTCAGTTAAGCACAAATTGAATACAAAATAAAACTATATTTCCTTCTTCTTTCTTATCCCAGTCTATATTGAACTTGTGTTTAAATTTTTTTATCTAACATACTATTTCAGGTATGTGATTATACTTCTGTCTTCATTCCTGTTTATACTTTTCTTGGAAAGGAAAATTTGATTCACACTTTTATCACTAAAAACACAGATATTTCTGAAGGTATAAACTGAGTTTTGTAATATTATTGTTAGTAATTAATAACTTATTACAGTGTCAGGATATTTGTCCTCTGGTTTTTCTTCCTCCCATTCTATGGAGTACAGAATAGTGGTGTCTTATGTAAGACACATACAACATATGCACATAAAGAGGTGTGAACTCCCAGATTTCTGTTTTGTTACCCAGGGATGTTGACTTGAGTTGAGATCTATGTGTCATTACAGGAGTTGGTGTCATTTGAGGATGTGGCTGTGGACTTCACCTGGGAGGAGTGGCAGGATCTGAATGATGCTCAGAAGACTTTGTACAGGGATGTGATGCTGGAGACCTACAGCAACCTGGCATCACTGAGTGAGTAAAACTCCCCAGTGACTTTCAGAAGAAACAGTTACCTTTTTCTTCATAAACATAGGAACCATTTATAGGGTTTCATGCTATTTGGGTAAGATTACATTACTTGAAAATGTGCTCTCTTTATCATGAGGTTCATATTGGCTTCTTTATTCCACAACGTCAGAACCTGAGCTCCTGTCATTCTTCCGGGGATCAGACTTAGCAGTTTTACAAAGTCCTACATTACTTCCTATTAACAGAACACTGCATTAACAAAGCTTCAGTGATTTCAAGTTAGAACAACTTGCAGAGCCATGGACAATAGAAGAATGCCCAAACCAGATCCTGCAAGGTTAGTCACCACATACTGGGCAGAAGCCAGCCCATTAGATGTTGGCAGTGTTCAGCTGTTTCTAGCAATGTTTCCCCAAGTCCCAGACCTGAAGAGGGCTCATCTGCAAGCCCATATTATATAATCTCCAAGGTGGTGTGTCATATGTACCTCAGAGAGAGTATTTACACATGAAAATATTCATATGGATGAGACAACCTACAAGTATAATGAGTATGGGAAAAACTGTGGTAAGTCAGCTGTCATTGCCCATGAAGTAAATCAGGTAGAAGGGAAAACTTTTCAATGGGAGGTTTGTGGGAAAATGATCTCTAGAAAATGTAAACTCAGTCAACATCAGATTATGCACACAGGAGAGAAACGCTATAAATATACTGAATGTGAGAAATCTTTTATTAAGGAATTATACCTTACGTCTCATTGGAGAACACCTATACAGGAGAAGCATTATGGTTGTAATGAACATAAGAAAATTTTTTGTCAGAAGTCAGCCCTTATAATGCATCAGAGAATTCACAAAGGAGAAAAGTACTATGCATGTGTTAACTGTGGAAAAAGCTTTTGTGAGAATTCACTCAGCCATCCTGAGAGGATTCACACTGGTGAAATACCATATGTAGGTAACGAAGGCATAAAATTTTTCTACCATGAGTCTGCTCTCACTGTATGTCAGAGAATTCACACAAGTGAGAAACCATGTAAAGTATATAAAAAAACTTTCTACTGTAATAAATGTGGTCCAGCCTTTCACCAAAAATCACACAACAGCAGCCATCAGAGAATTCACACAGGTGAGAAACTATGTGAATGGAAAGAATGTAGGAAAGCTTTCTTCTATAAATCAGTCCATATTTTACATCAAGGAGCTCACATAGGAGAGAAACTACATGAATGTAAAGAATGTGGAAAAGCTTTTAACCAAAAGTCACAACTCAGCATTCATCAGAGAACTCACACAGGTGAGAAACCATATGAATGTAAAGAATGTGGAAAAACATTTAACCAAAAGTCATATATCACTATTCACCAGAGAGTTCACACAGGTGAGAAACCATATGAATGTAAAGAATGTGGAAAAACATTTAACCAAAAGTCATATATCACTATTCACCAGAGAGTTCACACAGGTGAGAAACCATATGAATGTAAAGAATGTGGAAAAACATTTAACCAAAAGTCATATATCACTATTCACCAGAGAGTTCACACAG